ATAGATGCAAGATTGGCAACTCTGAATGTGAGCTTGGGTGGTCACGTCTTGGCTGCGAGATCATCTGCTAGTCCCACAAGAGAGAAGGAATGCTTTCCTTTGGAAGAAGGTAATTACTTTGCAGTATATTCCACTCAATACATAGATTTTGACCTGTATTGATTAGCATTACCCAAATTCGAATTCTTAAAGGAAAGTTCCATGGAGCTACAATTTTTCTGTACATGTTTTATATTAGTAGATGAAAGTACGTCATATTTTCGAGCATCTGAAGCAATAATTCAAACATTTAAAATGTTTAGAAGCAACGTTTAAACAATGGGGCACAATAAAATTCAATAAATTTGGTTTCTTTGGATAACCGATTAGGTTACTGTGTAGTATTTGAGAAGACACTTGTACGCGTTACATTTTATTTTTTGATGGCGACAAGTTAAATTTCACATTTTTAGTCCTAGGTGTTCATCATTACCTACACAGCTTTTTCTTCGGTTGCTCCCATGGTATTTTGTTCTTTGACCACCGTCGCTGTTGGTTCAGTACACGTAATTTTCAGTTAAAAATGCTGTTGAGGGAATGGCTCAAGCAGCGCAACGTTGCAGCTTTATTTCTGAGTAGAAAGTTGACATGAGTCTCATCTTTAACTTATCAAAACTTGACTACTAAAAGGAAGCGTTGAGTGGGCATTAATCTTCTCATGATCATGTTTGCATTGAAAGATTAGTGTCTAGTACTAGTTTCTTGATGATGTGGAGTTTATGAAAACTATCCCTAGTGTCTTGGGTTGGAACTGGCCTTATATGGCACTAGAAGTATCTTGGGAAAAGGAGAAACACACTGCCCCTAATTTATTGACAAGTGCATTGTCCTAGGGCCCAATATATGGACTAGTATATGGGCATAATAGAGAAGTTAAAAAATGCCTCAGCAAGTCGTAGCCTCATTGGTCTAACCTTGTAATTTATATAGCTCTGCTGCTGAAAATTTGTCATTTCACTCTCCATTGTTGGTAAACTAATTTCCCTTTCTCTGTTGTATTGTGGCATAGGTGGAAGAACTAATACTGGAAGATTCTCGCATAGATCAATACCCGAAAGTGGTCAAGGGAGAGTCGAAAGTTGTTTATGAGTGGCAAGGTACAAACATGGCTCCTGCTTTATTAGTTCCACCAACTAATAAAGCAGAGAAGTATTGACCTGTTTGACAGATAATGTGGTGCTATTTTTATTTCGTCGAGTATGCTATCTTATTAGATGTTGTTTTGTGGTTATATACTTATATTGGTGTGTTTGCTTGCAGCGAGCGGCTCGCTCAGTGGAAAGAAAAAGGTTAAGAAGATGCAAGGTGTAGCAGCAGGCAAGTCAAGAGCCGATGGTGCAGCTGGCGGCGCCATAAAACTTGCTGAAGAACTGGATGCAGGCTAGCTAGAGCTGCCATGCGTTATGTATGTACAAATGTTTCTCAAGCTACTAGGAGAGTATATATCATGATGTATGCTTGGAATGTACTAAATTAATTGAGTTAATGGAGTACGTGGTGTATATGTATATGAATGGTCACTGGAAGATGCTACTGACAGAGCAGTCGTCGTGAACGCGCCAGATGGTCTCGCCGAGGAGATTGGCGACGGAGAGGACGGTGAGCTGGGGGAAGGTCCGGTGGTGAAGCACGGGGACGGTGTTGGTGACGATCACCTCCTGGAAGAGGCCGCTGGAGAGCCTGTCGACGGCGGGCGGGCTGAGCACGGCGTGGGTGCTGCAGGCGTAGACGGCCCTGGCGCCCTCCCTGTGCAGCAGCTCCGCTCCCTGGGACACCGTCCCCGCAGTGTCGATCATGTCGTCCACCATCACCGCCACCTTCCCCCTGACGTCGCCGATGAGGTGCACCACCTCCGACTGGTTGTGCCCCTGCCGCCGCTTGTCCACGATGGCCAGCGGCGCGTCCGACAGCTTCTTGGCGAAGGTGCGGGCCCGGGCGACGCCACCCACGTCCGGGGACACCACCACCACCTCGTCGGGGCAGATGGTCTTGCTGGCCAGGTAGTCCAGGATCACCGGCTGCCCGTACACATGGTCCACGGGGATGTCGAAGTAGCCGATGGACTGCCCCCAATTGAAGTTCGCAGGCCAGCACGCGTTGGGCGCCGGCCTCCGTGATGAGGTTGGCCACCAGCTTGGCGGCGATCGACTCCCGGCCGCCGCGCATCTTGCGGTCGGCGCGGGCGTACCCGAAGTAGGGCACGACGGCGGTGATGGTCTTGGCGGAGGCGCGGCGGCATGCGTCGATCATGATGAGGAGCTCCATCAGGTTCTCGTTTGCCGGCGGGCAGGTGGGCTGCACCAGGAACACGTCGCACCCACGCACGCTCTCCTGCAGCTGCACGTACAGCTCCCCGTCCGCGAACCGCTTGATCTTCACCCTCCCCAGCTCCATCCCCAGGTAGCACGCCACCTCCTGCGCCAGCCTCGGGTTCGCCGTGCCGGAGAAGATGCGCAGCCGACCACCGCTAGAGCTCGCCTGCGCCTGCGATAGCGCTGGCACCGGGACCACGTCCGAGTACTGCCTGCCGCCGTAGGCCCCAGCCCCAGCCCCAGCCCCAACTGGAAGCAACAATCCCCTCTTTGACCTGCTGCTGCCACTGCTACTGCTGGTGGTGCCATGGCCGGCAAGCGAGCACGGCGCCGAAATCTTGACGAAGAAGGCCATGGCCAACCACCGACGTATCCTCTCCACACAGCAGCATCTCGGTCGGATAAGAATCTATTATATTATTAAAGAAATAGAAAAATGAGCTTCCACGTTCGTTCGCATGGCCTAGAAATTCTCACATTAATCGGAGAAAAAGAAAAAGCAGAATCCATATAGAAATACAATTAGGAAATAACTGAAATTCGGAATTAAAAAATAAAAAATATTAGAAGAGGAGACTAGAGTCAATATAGAAATACAATTAGGAAATAGTTGAAATTCGGAATTAAAAAATAAAGAATATTAGAAGAGGAGACTAGAGTCCATATAGAAATACAATTAGGAAATAACTGAAATTCTGAAATTAAAAAAAGGAATTTTTAAAGATGAGACTAGAGTTCATATAGAAATTCCATTTGGAAATCCCTGAAATTCAGAATTAAAAATAAGAAATATTAGAAGTAGAGTATAGAGTCCATATAGAAATGCAATTAGGAAATAATATAAATTTGTAATTAAAAATAAGAAATATTAGAAGTAGAGTATAGAGTTCATATAGAAATACAATTAGGAAATAATATAAATTTGTAATTAAAAATAAGAAATATTAGAAGTAGAGTATAGAGTTCATATAGGAATTTAAAACTAACTAAAATTTGGAATAAACATAATAAAATTAAAAGTAGAGTTTAGAGTCCGTATAAAAATATAATTTACAAGTAACTAAAATTTGAAATTAAGAAAAACATGGGAAGAAGAGTTTAAAGTCAATATAGGAATACAAATATAGGAATACAATTTAGAAGTAACTAAAATTCAAAATTAAAAATTAAAGAATATTGAAAGATGAGTTTAGATTCCACATAGAAATACAATTAGAAATAATAAAAATTCAGAAATAAAATAAATAATATTGAAAGAAGAGTATAGAGTTTATATAGAAATACAATTTACAGAAAATTCGGAATTAAAAAAAAAGAAATATTAAAAGACGAGTCTAGAGTCTATATAGGAATATATATAATTTACAACTAACTAAAATTTGATATTAAAAATAATTAATAACTAACACATATATAAAATATAATATGAATATTACACATTAGTAGTTTTTGTAAAGTTATTGCAAAATTTAAAATTATGTTGTCATTTCAATATATTTGAATAATATAATGAGAAAACATATATACTATTATATGAGAGAAAATATAATGATGCTAGCCGCGCAATCTGCGCGGGCCACCATGCTAGTTAACATAAAGACGATGAGAACATCCACTGCGCTTGAGGCCGGCCCACCAAGCTTCTGCCTCGCATATATTGATCTTTTGTCATTTTTCTTTTAGAAAAAAGAGAAACTCATAACTATTTTGTTATCACGCATGAAACGAGACACGCACCTTTTGTCACTATCATTTTTTTGCTTATGCTTATACTTATCAGCCTTGAATTTCAACTTTAAATTTAGAGTTGATTTTGAAGGTTTTTTATTGAAGTTTATTTTTCAGCATTTGCTTTTAGATCACTAAAAACACGCATATAAAAATTCTATTCACATATTATTTTTCGTTTGCAAATATGCTGTTTGATGGCACCCATATGTAAAATGACTTTCCTCCAAATCTACTACATTCTTTCCCAAAATAATTGCAATTCTAGATTGTTTAGCATATATTAAGGTTTAAGAAGAAAGACTAAGGTGTCCCTAATTAAATGTGTATAGGTAATAAAATGGTTGAAGGTAGAATTTTTTTTTAATAATGGATTAAACCGGCTTCTATATCTGTTGAAGGTAGAATAGGAAGAAATTCAAATCAAAAGTGATTAATGGGATAGTTAATTAGTACTCTATTGTTGGGAAAAATTTGAATCCTAAAAATATAATTATTATGGGACGGAGGTAGTACGATATATGCATTAGCATTTCCTTTCCTAGCCACATATACAGGGATTATCCCATGAAAACCATCGAATAGATGAAGACTAGACTAAAATTTTCCTAAATTCATTAAAAAAAGTACAAGAGACAAGTATATATAGGAATGAACTACATTTCTAACAAATCACAAGTCCAAACTCATTTGCATTTGGGAGGAAAAAAATTAAGATGGCCAAACATCGTCGCTTCTTGTTGTAATGGTTAGGAGATGGGGCCGGTGGCGTGTCACGCCACTGGAGACGAAGAAGGGCAGGGCAGGATATCCGCGCCGGATTTGAGGAAGAGTGATAGTATGGCGCCAAGGTGTGACGGAGTATCGGATAGGGAGGCATGCGACAGTCGCATGGGACGAGATTCGGGAGCTGCACGAATCTTGGAACAATCTCGACCGTTCAAAAGTGAATGATATTTTCTTAGAAAATAAATCAGCGGGCTGATGAATATAGACAGCCGCTATATATATACATGAACCGCATAAGGAAATGCACAAACAACACTTGCTTTCCAGCTGCGCTTCTAACAAAAGAAAACAAGAACATATTACTGATGCAACGAAAAGAACTCAGCCATCTCTCTTCCGCGTATACCAGGATTCAGTGAACCCAGAAAGGACTCAGCACTCCAAAAGGGAAAGTACTAGTCACTATTCGTGCAACTGCGCGGAGAAATGCTCACCCATTTTAGTTGCATAAGTGTAGAAATATTGCTACTGTGTATACACACTTATACTGAGGATATACAACAAATATACTGTCTATGTACATGTTGACTTAATCTTTCTATCTTCTACGTACAAGTACATACCTACCTAAGGATCATCAAAAATTGTCAGCTGTGTCTTGTACATGGTTCTGTGATCTGATCTGATCATCCCATTTTGCCATTCAAGAAAAGCGGTGCTAGCTAGCTACCATCTCATGATCTGTTACAACGTGTCTGAATTTGTTGTTCCTTCCTGTCTGATTTCCTGAATTCTTTGCCGTAGCCTTCTCCTGTGGTCGTGTATTTTCCACAACCCATGGCAAAGCACAACGGTAGAGTATATGCCGTGGGTGATCATAGGTGCAAGAATATTATCTGTCTGCCATAATAAATAGAGCAACATAATAATTTAATTATTTGTTTCTATTATTGATCGACCCGTGAAGTTCAATACACATGGGACATGGGATGAAGAGGTTATACCTGGATCCACTCAAAGCCAAGGTAGAAAGCCAAGATTCCTTCAAGAAGAGGGGAATATATCTTCCTCATTTGCCGCCTTTCATACCATGCTGAAAAATCCAAAGCTGGAGAGTTCAGTAATATATCTCTGTAGTGATGAGCATATGACTGCTACTAGTACGATTTTGCTACTGCGACTGCACTAGCTAGAACAAGACTATATATACACCTGCAAATAGTTTCTTGAGATTCTCTCGCCCAGTATTTGAACGCATTGCTGGTGTCACCACATAAGTAGGATCTGCAATCATACAAATATATCACAACATGTATATATATATGTCACACTTGGTTTCAAGAATCAATGCCACTTCCTTCCAAACAGAAAAGCATGCAAATTAGAGTCACCTTTCGGGGCAGTAGCCACATAATAGAGTGATCCTGTGAGAGCCGCAGTGATGGCTGCTGCAAACGTTTGAGCAAATGGAACAAATGGAGGCACCATGCCACTCTACACATATCAATCAGCACAGTTAAGATCAGCGCAAATATCCCAAATTCAGGACTCCATTTCCATCGAACTGAAAGCAGTAGAATTCATACCAGGGATGCAATCCCTCGAGCGTCTTTCATGAGCTCTGTGCCTCTCAGAAAAATATCAGCCAACGCACCCTACAATTTCAGTTATATTCGCTCTACAACGTGAGAATAAGGAAAAGAAAACGCATGCCAATTACTGCACAGATCATTACTGTAGTACCATTTACAATTACAAGCCATGTAGGTAAGGTAAGTAATCTGTAATAGGACTTCGAAAGAAATCTAATTAAGCAGAAATAGATAATGGACATGAAGCAAATACCTGGACAGCGACACGATAGAATAGCTCCTCTCCAATTGAGCTAGCAGTTACAATAAGAATGAACTGCAAAATTTAAGATACAATTTTAAATCAGGTTCTTCATCAAGCAGTGGTCCATAAGCTAACATCTTAGGAGAATTTAGCTTGGCAAAAGTAGAGAACACTGAAATGTTCAAGAAATCCATATAGTAAACTAAAAAGCATAAGGAAATTAGGCAATTATTAGCTACATTTGGGATAATTTTCTGGTACAGTTGGGTGGCTAGATAATGAACATGTAAACCGTACTTAGATTTTTCCTATTATTTGATTAGGGGGTTTTATTCCAAACTTTTAGTTATGGCTGGATCATGTTGACAAGGCTCTTAATTTGTAATACGAGCTTCCGTTATGCCTAAACTGTTTGAGACAGACTCTGTCTCGATTCAAACCATTGTAATCTAGGACTGATAATTTCTGGTCCTTGAGAGTTGAGTACTGAGAGAGAGGCTCATTTTGACCTTGCTTTTAAATCGTGCTTTCGTGTTTGGAGTAGTACTTTAAGGGACATGAGATGGGGGTGAGAAGCATTCTAGAGCTATTAAATATATCCTCTTTGGAGTCCAGCAGTTAAAGTAATTGCAACTGTATTAATTTTAGTGAAATTAAAACAGCATGATCGACCGCACACAGCCTAAAATAATGATGTGAAAAATGCATTTGGTTCTTAGAATAATTTGGAGTGAATATTAGAAGTAGTGTTGGTATGAGGGAAAAGAAAGAGAGATTGAATGAAAAGAACACACCTGCCATGGTGACATGCCATAGAAGAAGCTGCGAAGCTCCTCATCCTCGACATCCCTGATGGCGCGAGCATGAGGTGAATATTTGACAACTTCATCCTGCAGGCAGAGATTAATCAAATCGAAGAGAAGAGAGCAAGTAATTAGTAAATATTTATATATAAATACGTACGTCGAGGATAAAGAGCAAAGCCATAATCGGCGGAGCTGCATATCCGAGTCCCTCAACAAGCGCAGAGAGAGATGGATGGAAGCCCCCTGTGCAGTCTATTCCGGCCATCTGGCATATGAATCTCCCAGTAAGTGCCATGGCGGCATAAATCCCTGCACCCATCAGATTATTATTCTATTATTACTTAATTGTTGCATAGTAGCATCGATTATTACTAAAATGGAATTAATTTAAATACTAAAAGTAGATGAAATAACAGGAGTCGTTAGTACCAATGCCATAGCTGAGCCTGACAACCGCTCCCAGCCTCTCCCACATGGCCAGCTCCGCGTCCCGGGCTGCGAAGCCCCCGCCTCCTCCGCCTCCGCCGGTGACGACGGGGGCGGCAGGTGGGGCAGCGACCTCCACGACTCTGGGGCCATCTGCAGCCAAGCGGCCGCTCCTCCGTTGGTCGCCGCCTCGGCCCTCAGCTGCCGCTCGGATCCATCTGCGAACTCGGGGGGCGAAGCCGATGGAACAGTGGGTGTAGCTGAGCCTGAGCCTGAGCTTGCACGTGTTTGTGACTGTGGAAGAGGAGGAGGAGGAGGAGGCCGCCGCAAAAGGGGCCAGCTCCATTAATTCACAAGATCCCTGGCTGCCTTTTCAATCTCTCTCTCTCTCTCGATCTCGATTCTACAGCAGCAGGAGGAGAGAGTGCCAAGCGGATCAAAGAGGGGCAAGAGGAGAGACAAATTAAAGCAGAGCCAAGAGGAGAGACAACTAAACTAGGAGGACGGAAGATCGATTTTTGTTTTAATACTCCTACTCCTACTCCTATTAGAAGTATACTCTGTCTATCTTGTTGTCCTACGCTAGTAGAAATGTACTCCTAGCATAGGAGGAGGAGGAGACTCATGCGCCATTTGATTTTGATTAATGGGTTTCCGCCATTAGTTTTCTAGTGGCCGCCGGTTTTGCTCTGCAACTCTCCCCTTCTCTTTCTCTTCCCTCGGTTTACTAGACTTATATTTCTCTACTCTACCCACCATTGGATGCTGGATTTCTTTTACTAGTAATCCATTTTTTTATATAAAAAAAATTAGAAGCAGAAGCAGCCAGCAGCTAGCGAAGGTGTATTTGTCTAGCTGAGCTGATGAGGAGAGAGGCCGGGAGGCAATTGCATGGACTGGCTGGCTAGTGGACGGTTGCGGGACGAAAGCGGCGTGGCGCGAGGCGACTGGGCGCCCACGGATGGCAGGGATTTCCACGCCCAATCACCGCTTGCCGCGTCAACCAGTTGATAAGAAATACGGATCACGCGCAGATTTCATCCTTCCCTCCATCAACACCCTTCGTTGCGCGTGCTATTGTTAATTTTGTTATTTTACACCATTAAACTATTTTATTGCTTCACTTAACATTTATTTTTTTTCTCATTTTACATCTTCATACATGTCCAACTGTTTTAGAACCCTATGGACCTTTTTTTTTCTCATTTTACATATTGAACTATTGAAAATCAAACACGTAACCCCTTAAAGGTATTTCTCTTTTTTCTCTCCCTCTATAAGTACTCCATATGCCCTAAAATATAAGAGATTTTGACCGGATTGATCTGCTTTGTAAAGAATTCCTTATATTTTGGGATGGGGGCTGTATCATTTTGCAATGAAATTTGGTAGGATTGATATATACAGTATAACTTGCCTCTCAACTTTGTTTATAATTTTTCTAATCACCGTTTACTAGATTGGAAGCTCTGAGACTGATTTACTTTGAGGTTTGAAATTTCAAGCATTTAGTCATGAAAAAATTTGAAAATATTTTGGAATGATAATGGTGTCATCTATGGCTCTACAAAATTTTAGCTTAAATACTACTCGTATAAAGAGAAACAAAGAAAAAGAAATACAAAAGTTTAGTTTAGGGGTAAAATGATAAAAAAATAGTTTAGTGGGTTAAGCGAACCAATGAAATAGTTTTGGGAGTAAAATGAAGTTGTTTCATTTGGTTATGCTAAGCTGCTCATCTTCAATAACTGCTGCTTTGCTTAATTTCGCTTAAGTCAGTTTTCTAATAAACTTTTTATGCTTCTATTTTTATTTAAAAAGCATTTATACTCCCTAACAACACATGCCAAGATAAAATAATAACATTATCATTTATTTTATGTTTCTCACATCACATATAGTATATTGAGTAAAATAATAAAACACTATATAGTTGAAGTGAAGGCCAAGGGCCTAAGGACATGCTATATTTGACAGGTAAAAAGTTCAATTTGGGTTTCTCATGTAAGGGTTGAGTTCGAATCATGCCCCTCAACCGTAAAATAGAGTACAACGCATCTCCTAAAATCAGTGCAAATAATATCCCAAGGTAGTATATATGGAGGACGGTTTTAGCTAACATGGCGCCTACGAGGCACTATAAGCTTGAATAATGTATCTGACTATATATTTGTATTTATTTTTACTGATGACTTAATTCAAATGATAAAATTTTGGCATGTTAAACAAAAAGTAAAAAAAACAAAGATGTACAACATCTGTTGTTTTAGGTCAAAAATATAATAACCAATTCAAAGACAAAGAAATAATATAGAGAAACTATCACCACATTTACTTTGGAGGCCTAGAAAATAACCACATTAATCAGAGAAAATAGAAAAATATATTACAATGTTAGACCGTGTTAGTCCATATTATAATAATGTAGGCTCTCCAATCTCTACTATTATAAAAATTGAATATGTTTTTATCGGTACTTTGGTACGTCATCCGTGTATAAGTTGTTTTTAAGTTCGTTCGCTTTTGGAAATACATATACGTATTTGAGTTGGGTTTTAAATTCGTTCACTTTTAGAAATTTCTTTAAGAAATACAGAAGGAGTCGTATAAGAAATTTCTTTAAAAAAATTTGCATGCTAACTTGAGATGATCGAACTCCTAATTGCAGTTCATGATTTTCTAGAAAAATATATATCCAAGTGAATTCTTATATTGAATTTCACCTTAACTAAACTGTATAACAATAATAATATTAAAATAACCTTCACCCGTTACAACGCACGAGCATTTTTTCTAGTATAATTCTATAAGAATACCACAATTTATTATAGATACAGAAACAATAATTATATATCAAATACAACTATATTGTCAATAATACAATGTCAAATCCGAGCCCTGTTCGATCATCGTATCAAATCTACAGTATGATCTAAAAGAAGTGTGCATGGCCACTTCATCCTCCCTTATCCATGTGGCAGTTGAGCAATTCTCCTTGAAGCTTGAATTTCATCCACTCTATCATCATCACGGGAGAAAACACTACATATGTGTGCCGACATGCATAGCATGGTGCAGATGGATTGAGGCGGTGATAGCGGTGGCATTGGGCGACATCGAAGAAGGTGGTGACCACAAGTGAGCTCGAGGGCAGTGGCATTCAGTGAGATCGAGGGGGATGGCAATCACAAATGAGCTCAAGAGCAACAATAACAGCAGTGGTGGAGGCAGCGTGGGGGCTGGGGGGGTCTTTAGACCCCCCTATCCTCTAATGAATCATTAGAGCCCCCATTAAGACCCCCCCTAAAATTTAAATCCAAATATCTTGAAGGGGGCTAAAATAAATTTTGTCTAAGATTGTTAGAAGGCCCAAAAGACTGAGGAGCCCCCACTATAATTTTATCTTGACTCCGCCACTGCAACAGCGATGGCGTCAGGTGAGATCGAGGGATACGACGACCACAAGTAATCTCTAGGGCAGCAACAATGGTGACATTAGGCAATATTGAGGCATGCTAGTTATTAACTTATTACTACACAGCAAAATCTAGATTGACAAAATGTGTCATTAATTATTATCTACATGATAGTTTCAAAATTTAGGACAACATTAAAGAGCAAAAACAATTAGAAATTCCCAACCATGAAAATTAACTTTTTAAAACCAATTTTTCAACAAAATAGAGTGTCGGAACATGAAAATTAAAATGAAATTTCTAGAAGTTATTTACTAAGGTATGACAGAAATTGTCTTGGTCCTAAACATAAAGTAAGCACTAGACGAAATCAAAATTTCGCAAAACATGACATAAATTGTCTCCTCCTTTTATTTGGATTATTCAAAATAAGATCTTCGAAATAGCGACGCTCTTGCTCATCAAAATAGCGACGACGGTATATTTCTGTAAATCTCCTCCAAACCAGTATTTTCTTGTGAATTTGGTCGAAAAAACATATATTTTCATTTTTTTCTAAAAAAAATTAATTAAGCCCTAAAATTTAAATACGATATCGATGCATATGTGCCATGCACGTTCCTTGTGCGCGCATGATCCCTTGGCCTTTTTACAGGCACTGCACATATGGCGATGGGATGAATTACACCAGAAGCAAAGAATAAGGTATAGCTAGCGATGCATATATTCCGTGGTCCACGTACACACGAAACAGACAGCTGTAGTATATATATCTTATAAATAAGAAAAGCAAAAGGAGACGGTGGATCGATGCATGAATGGAAGAAAGGAATTATTGGAAGAGAGGGTTAGGATCGAGCGGAGGCTGTGCTTACGTAAACGAAGCTAGCTGTACGTGGTTCTTCTGTGATGATCTGATTAAGCATCGAGATCAGCTCAGCTGCAGTGTAGCACAACGTACATACTCATCTAAGTGCAGTATTAGGCTATTATTAGCTATACCTAGCCTGGGCGCGCGTGTTCGATCCGATTCCGATCGATCCGAAGCGAGCGATGGCCCTCAACTATGTGGGCTTGGCGGCCATCAACCTGGTGGCTGCGCTGCTCTCCATCCCTGTCATCGCCGCCGGTATCTGGCTCTCCGCACAGGTGGACAGCGCCTGCGTCCAACTGCTCCAGTGGCCGCTGATCGGCCTCGGCGTCGCCGTCCTCGCCGTCGGTCTCGCCGGCTTCGTCGCCGCCTTCTGGCGCCTGCCCTGGCTTCTCCTCGCCTACTTGGTCGGCATGCTCCTCCTCGTGGTGGCGCTCGCCTGCCTCGCTGTCTTCGTCTTCGTCGTCACCGGCGGCGCGTCGTCGGGTGGTCACACCGTGCCAACCGGGCCTTCCTCGAGTACGAGCTCGACGATTTCTCGGGCAGCTGGCTACGCGGCCGCGTGGACGAGCCTGCAGGCAGATGGGAGCAGATCAAGACGTGCCTGGCCGCCACGCCCATCTGCTCCGACGTCAACCAGACATACGCCACGGCGCAGGATTTCTTCTCCGCCTCCTGGCTCACCCCGCTGCAGTCCGGGTGCTGCAAGCCTCCCACCAGGTGTGGCTACACCTTCGTCACCCCGATCTCGTGGATTAGCCCCATCAGCGCCGCCGCCGACCCGGATTGCGGCGCCTGGAGCAACGACCCTTCTCAGCTCTGCTACTCCTGCTCCTCCTGCAAGGCTGGCCTTCTCCACAACCTCAGCAGGGAGTGGCGCCGAGCTGATCTCATCCTCCTCGTCGCCACCGTCGCGCTCCTCGCCGTCTACGCATTCGCCTGCTACGCCTTCCGTACCGCCAAGACCGACGACCTCTTCCGCCGCTACAGGCAGGGCTACACGTAACGTAGCTCGATCGTGCATATATATACTGGAGTACTAGTGCTTTAAGTAATTTCCAACTCTCATCCTTTTTACTTTGATTTTACATGCGTTTTCGTTTGGAAATCTTTTTTTGTTCTGTCAACACTTATTTAAAGATAATTTAATTCAATTGTTGACGCTACATTTTTGCAAACCAAAAAATGCATATGCTACCTTTAGAATGACGATTAGATTTTTGCAAACAGACAAACAGATTTTAGGCAGCCATCCAACCCGCCTGCACTTCAAGGCATATGAAAATACATGATTTTTACATACCGGCTATTGGCCCTGTCTGCGAAAATCACTTTCGCAAAGCAACCTCTACATTTTCGTAGGCACTAGTACCTGCGACAAAAATCTCAGTGAAAAATAATCCCCCGGCTTCCGGCTGGATCTGAGAGGGAGAGGGAGGAGGGCTGCGCCGGCGTCACCCTCCCTTCTCCAGTCAGATCTAGGACGG